CCTCCCCTTCTTGCATGGTGGCACAATCCGCCATAACGGCATCCCCGTTTAGGCCCTTCCGCTGGCGGGGCCTTCCCTTGCCTCGCCGCCGTCGCAAAAAAATGTCTGAAGAGCACGTGCGTTTGAGGAGCGGCCGTGCCGTGGCCTGCACACCTGCGGCGTCCCAGGGAAAAGGTCCCGCCTGGAAGGCACCGCGGGATGGGCTTCCCTTTTTTCGGCGCCCGCAGAAGCGCTGCGGGAGGCGGCGGATGCGAAAAGTCGCCCCCAAGATTTGGCATTTGCGTGTTCCCCGCACCAGGGAACCTCAGACGTATCTGTGCGTATACCATCCAGAACATGTGAAGGCCCTCTTTCGGATGCGCATCCGAAGGGCCACCCGTCGGAGGGCTGATGATGGAGCGTGCATGGTGGAACGGGCGCGCGCATGATGGAAGACGCGTGCACGGAAATCCCCCCGCGGGATGCTCGGCTTATACGGACGCGTAGATGCGGCAGCGGAAGGCACGAGTGCGCCGTCCGACACTCTTGTCGGTCTCCACAGTCGGTCGGGCATGTTTCTGGATAGCGTATCGCTCCGCTGGCTCTGGCCCATCACGCTTCGGTGCGAAACGCTATCCACGCCCAGTCCCCAGGCGTCCACGTCCTGAGTCTTTTCCACCCCACCGCTCCGCGAAGCGGATCGACGCGCTATCCGCTCGCAGGGCATAGCGTGTCGCCGTGGCCGGCGCCACGACACGCTAAGCAAACATTCCGGACCGTAGTGTATCGGGGACGTCGTGGTCGGCGTGTTTTGGGGGACGCGCCGGTCTCTGCCAAAATCTGCGGCCCTGCAGAGGCCCCGACCATCTCTGAGCTCTGCCCCCCTCCCACAGCGGCCAGCGTCGAGCGCACATTCCCTGCGCGCGCGCGCGCGGCCGAGTGAGGGAAACAGTGCGTTGTGGAAGAGGGCGCGCGCACGAGCACGATCACGAAGCCAGACGCCGTCCGGCGCGTCGGGAAAAGTCGGAGTCCAAGCGTTCACCGCCAATGTGCCTGCTAAACAGTGCAACTGGAGGAGGAGGAGGAGGAGGAGGAGGAGGAGGATAACAACAAATAATTAGAAGAAGACAACCCATGCCTCACATTCACATAACGGTGCCCTCCTGCCAGGGCGCGCGCAGACGCACTTTCCCCCCCTCCACCCCATGACCTCGTCCTCGCGTCGCAAGAAAACATCCTGGCGAAGGACCCAACTGTCGAGGGAAACAAGGTGCACCGGAAACTCCTCATTGGTTCAACGCAGTTGTTGAGACAGCCATGGGGCCTTTGATTTAAAAATGGGAGGTGGATGACATAGGCTTCAGGCTCGAAAGCGGCCAGGCGATCAATCATTCGATTTAGGCTGACAACGTGTGGCTCGTCGCGGAGACCTGAAGACACCTCCAGTGCTTGATCACGGACGTCACGGTGGCCGTTTCGAAGGTGCGCTTGTCTTGGAAACCACATTCTATGCAGTTCCTTTGCGGTGGCGCGGCTGCGGGCAACAAAATGGATATTCAGGCGTTGGCTCACGGATGCTAGATGCATAAATTAAGTACGGAAGGCAGAGCACACATTCTGGAAATATTCAAAATCTCTCACGGGCGTTGGCGCGATTTTACACAAAATGCATGGACACGACGTGTGTCATCGAGAGCAGCACATGGCAGTGCGATGTGGATTCTGGACGAAACGCTCATGCAACGAATATGGAGATGAGAGTTGAAGTGGGCGCGAAAGGCCTTCCGATTACGGCGACGACCAGATGAAGATCATATGCAATAGAACCGCCGTTCTTCGCAGTGCATTTCTGAGTGGTTTCCAATGACAGGGAGCAAGCAGTTTCACCATCGAATGCTCCATAAGGTCTACGGAAGTGCGTGGCGAGAGCGCAATGCTCGAAATACGACCGGCATGGGCTACTTCACGGAGCTGCGCACGGAGCGCTGCAGTCTGGCATAGGACGCCACGAAGGGCGAACAGTATACGCAACGTCTACAAGAAGGCTTCGCACACAGCCGCAAGGTGAACATCGTCGAATGGGAGGACGTGTTTCTTCGCGCCTGCGGACACGCGTGGCGCACAGAAGAGGACAATTCACAGACGGCTCTCGCTTGGAAGGGTTGTGGCGCCGATTTCGTGAACACCATGTACGAGCAATGGTCCAGCAATGGTCGCTTCCAGCCGACGGTCCGACAAATCGCCAGCAGGCTGCTGATAAGGGGCAGGTGCCGGCGAAACGTGCTCGCCGTGCAGGCCGACAGGGGAGCTTGGAGGAAACGGTCCAAACAATTTCTGGTACCGCGCATGCCGCGGCATGGGCAAGCGTGGGTCGCAGGTATGTCTGTGTCGTGGGTTGCCAACCGCTTCGAAGATTTGCCTGGGGGCACGCGCCGCTGCACGGTGAGACTCGCTGGCTTTCAACGTATTCGTCAGAGCTTGTGCGACGTGGTGCAATTCGGAAAGGACCTCGCCCCACAATCGGAGCGATTCGATCTGATGATTCGACAGATGCCATCATGTGTTAGTTGAGTATTTGTGCGACGTTGCCATGGACACGACATATTCCTGGCGAGAGGTGAACGGCGCCATACCTGAGGAACCGTATAACCTAGTGGTGCGTCCCGACGGGGGGGGGTAGATCCGAGTGCTCCGCGCGTGCATGGGCTCAGGTGCCTACTCTCCGGAAGCCCGGAAGGCGTCTTCCAACCGTTTGTGGTTGCAGGTGAGATCTTGGACGCACCTGCACAGTCTTTCCTGGCAGAGGCCCTTGCCTTGGAGGGGGCGGTGCAGGAACTGCGATCGTGGATCCTGCTCGCGACTAGCTGCTACCTTGCTCCTCTTTCCCCTCCTTGTTTTCCCCCTCGTCCTTGCTCTCCTCCCTCTCTGCTTTAATGCCGTTGCTGCGCTGTCCAGAGTCACTGCATCATGTCTCGCACGTTCTTCGGGCTAGCTTCACGACGCTCTGTCCGAAACGGGCGCGGTGGCGCGATGCGAGCGCAGCCACTGGGGCATCGGGTGGAGCCCCTTATGGGGCCACGAAACGTATGATGAAGGATACGCCAGAATGCGCGCGGTGGTGCCATGCGAGCGCAGCCACTGGAACAGTAGGTGGAGCTCCTCATGGGGCCACGAAACGTGTGAGGGGTGTGCCGAAACGGGCGCGGTGGTGCCATGCGAGCGCGACCATTGTGGCCTTCGGTGGAGCTCTTTATGGGGCCACGAAGCGTGTGAGGTGCGCCCAAATAGTTGGCTGATTGGTGCGGAAGGCGGTGGCAGGGATGGGAGGATGGAGGAGCGGGAGGAGGAGGAGGAGGCGGGATGGAGGGACGTGGGGCGTTGTCCTTTCAAAACGAGGACCCAACACCGCAGGATGGTTGGGAACAACACAACGGATTGTTTTCAGCAGTTTTCGGCCTTTGGGGGCCCTATCTGGGCCGCAGGACCACAGACAAAAACGAGTCGGGATGAAACGTCGACCGCGGAGCACGGGCCAAAACGGTTGCGGAGCGGCATTGTGATACAATCGCGGCGGCGGATGTTTGGGAACGCGGCCGTGGGTCGCAGTCGCCCGTAGCATTGATACGGGGCACGTGGACCCGCGAATGTGCCGCCCGTCCGCCTGCTTCGTCCCGCTGGCCATTGCCTCCCTGCCTCCACGTTCGTCGTCGCCTGCCTGCTCCTCGTTTTTCTTTTTTTGTCCTCTCTCTCTCTCTCTCTCTCTCCGTCGCCGAGCGGCACAGCCTGACTCCATCCAGTGAGCGTCGAAGAACAAAAAGCCACATAAACGAAAACATTTCGCGCTCCGCGCGGAGTTCTTGGATCCGCGCTGGGACCCCCCTGGCGGCGCCTCCGGCGCCGCCCCGGCGCGCACCGCGCGTCGGGGAGGGGGGGGCCCAGCGTAGATGCAAAAAAACCGTGCGGACCATCAGCCGTTTATATGAATGCCGGTTTTTGTTCTTCTAGGGCGGTCGGCCAGCCTCCATTTTCGGGTACAGATGGGCCGACGTATACGATCGAGATCAGTTCGGGGAGGGTGCCCCAGTGTTCGTCGTGCTTGGTGGATGTTCCCGCGCATCATGGGGAGGTTGCCCTTGAATGTTCTGTGTGCTTTGGCCGAAGGAGGGTCTCATGTTCTTGATGGATGTTATTCTGGGCTAGTCCCCTCCTGACACAGCGATTTGACCGCCCCCTTATGGTGTATGCATTTTCAGCGTTTGGAACTTACTTTTTCGCCCTCAATGTCGACCGCACTTGTTAATAGTTTCAGCAATTGAGGTCCGACTGTAATCATAAGCGCAAGCTTTCGGAGGTCCGCGCGGCTCCCTTGAATCAGCGGATCTCCGGTGCCGTCCCTGGTGCGTTCCGCGCGCAGGACGGAGTTTTCCAGCGCCGATCCAGGAAATCCGCTCGAACCCCCGAACGTTTATATTCATGTTGAGCCTTCTTCTTCTGAGACTGCCAGGAGCCGACGTCGCTGGCCCACCAGGAGTTGCAAGCTTACGGCGCTAAGGCGCTCTACAGCACACGAACGCCCATACCCGTAGGGGGGGCGGACGGGGGCCATGGGTGCGTGCTGTCGGACGGGGGCCCAGCGCTCGAACGGGAGCCTCCCCCGGGGTCCGACAACCCGCGCTCATACCCACAGCCAGCCCTCCTCTCGCCGACCCCCGCCCCCCTCATCGGCATGGGTGCGCCCGGACCTCCGACGTCATGACTTTTCCGTGGCGTCGACCCCCACAGGTCTCGACCCATTCCCCGGGACCGGCGCTTTCCTGCTGCATCGATTCTTGACGGTCCCGGTGGCCGGGTAAGGGCCCCTAGAGGCCGACAAGAGAGAGAAGCTTCTCGTCAAGAGCTTTTCATGACTCGAGGGGTCTGGGTGTGGTCGCTCGTCATGAGACCCTTCGCTCACGCGCAGAGGGCCCGTGCACAGCGTGCGCCGCCCCTGCGCGCCCCGCGCGCTCACCGCAGGCAGTGGCATGCAGCAAGCCCCCAACGTGAGGGCGCCAGCGGGCGCCAGCGGGAGCGCGACCGCGCGCGGGCGCCTTCCCCTTGAGGAGAGAAGACATATATATATATATATATATATATATATATATAATATATATATATATATACACACACACACACATATAACGGCGCACCGGGTCCGGGGGCCCGGGGCCGGGACCTCGACCACAAATGTGGGCCCCGGGGGGCCCGGAGGCTCGTCGGGGCTTGCCGGAGGCCTCCCCGGTCAGACAAGACGGCCCAAGAAGCGCCCAAGACGGCCCAAGAAACTTCCAAGAGGCCTCCAAGAGGGCTCCAAGATGCTGAAGATGGCCTCCAGACGTCCAAGGACGCCCCCAAGACGCCCCAAGAAGCCTCCAACATGCGTCCCAAGAGGGCCCCTAGACGCAAAAATTTGCCCATTCCCTTCGTAAAACGTACATTTTTCACAAAGTTGCTTTTTGGGCTTTCCGACGTTACAGGACGGCCCACGAGGCGCCCAAGACCGCCCCAAGACGGCCCAAGAAGCTTCCAAGAGGGCCCCAGGACAGCCCAAGAGGGCCCCAAGACGGCCCAAGAGGCGCCCAAGATGGCCCAAGAGGGCCCCAAGACGGGCCCAAGAGGGGGCCCAGAGGGGGACCACGAACCGCAAGCTCGAGCCTTCCGCCCCAAGAGGCCGCCAGGAGGCCCCAAGGAGGCCCCTCAAGAGGCCCCAGGAGACCCCCAAGAGGCCCAAAGGAGGCCCCGAGAAGCCCCAAATCGGCCCCCAAAATGCTTCGAACCTGCTTCCAGGAGGCCCCCGACAGGTTCAGAGGCTCCCGAGAAGCTACGTCAAACTCCCAGCGAGAATGATCCTAGCTCGAACCTAAGCGCGCGAAGCGCGCGCGTGGTTCTAGTATATATATATAGATATACATACATATATGTAGTCACACATATATGCATAAATATGTATATACATACATACACATATATATATATGTATATTGCTACTATATGTAATTGATATACATACATACATATACATATACATATACATATATATATATATATATATATGTATGTATGTATGTATGTATATGTATACATACATATGCAAGACTGCATTGGCGCTTCGCGTCATGCACCTTGGTCTTTGAGGTTTTGCATATGTTGGTCGCTCGCGCCATCCCTAGTGGCCTTGGAAATTTGGCCCCTTCCCTGCTGTGGTTTTTGAAAGTCTTCGAGAGTTCGGGTGGTCCCTGGTCCTTCCCAGGCCTCTGGGGGCTCCCGAAAGGCGCATGGAGGAGGGCGAAGGATAGGAGGGAATCTCGGAGAGCGAGGAAAGGAAGCGGATGTGGGGGAGGACGAGTGGTGGAGCGGCAGAAGGCGCCGTCAGGGGGCGGCGAAGAATGTTGCAGCGGGTTGCAGCGGGTTCGGGTTCGCAATCGATTTCCTGAATTTGTGGTTGCGGGCCCAGGATACGGGTCAGTTTGGTGGAAAACACCGTGTGGGCCTTGTTGGAGCCGTAGTGGGCCGGCTTGGGGCCGTCTCGAGCCGTCTTGGGGCCATCTTGGGCCGTGTTGGGGAGCTTGGGCCCTCTTGGGACCTTACAGGGGCTACGTAGGCCCTCCTGATGGCCTCCAATGGCTTTTTAGGGGGCCTCCCATGGCCTTCTTGGGCTTCTCTTGTGGGCCTTGTGAAGGCCTGTTGGGTTTCTTTTTGGCTCATTTGGGGTTTCCGTGGGCAGGCTTGAGGCCGTCCAGGCCGTCTAGACGCTCTCTTGGGGCTCTCTTGGGCCGTCTTGGAGCGATACTGGAGACAATTTGGATGTTGTGGACGCTGCTAAGACCCGAACAGCGCATGTGCTTGAAATGCACGTTTTCCTCAAGGAGTGAAGCGATGTTTGCGTTCTGGGAGTCCTGCTGAGGGCCTCCTGGGCCGTCTTGAGGGCCTCTGGAGGCCATCTGGGTCCTTCGTGGAGCGCTCTTGTGCTGTCCCGGATCTTTCTTCGGCCTTTCTGATCACCGCTCTGATCGCTCGGGGGCCTTGTGAGGTCCTGTAGGGTCTCTTTTTGGGTCATTAAGAGCTTTTTTGTGCGGTCTTGGGGCCATCCAGGTTGTCCAGACGCTCTCTTGGGGTTTTCTTGGGCCGTCTTGGAGCGGTACTGGAGACAATTTGGATGTTATGGAAGTCCGGGACGAGCCGGGGTCACCTTTGGCAAGGATGTCCAGGGGGCCCGGAAACCCCCGATGCTGGGGGTCGGGTTTTGGGGGGGAGGGGGGTTCCCACCCCCCTGGCTTCTAAACATATATCAAGCGGTATATATATATGTATACATATTCACTTCTATGTATATGTATACGTATATATATGTGTATGTGGACATGCATGTCAAATGTGTATATATATGTATAGATCGCACTTTCCAGGAAGGGGGCCTCGCCGTAAAGGATCCAAGGAGTTGGCATCTCTTCACCGGCGGAAGGCGACGAAAGGTCGGTGGACGCCGGCGGAAGCAGAACAGGGGCGGCTCCGCTGGCGGAAGCCGGTGGAAGGCCAGAGAGAGTTGGCGGGAGTTAGACATGTGCCCCCAAGCGGTGACAACAGTTCTGGGTTCTTTGTTTCCGACACCTGCCACATGTATATCTATGTATAGAAAATTACATGTGTATACATATATATACATATATACATACATAGTCAAATACACATACATAGGCACACACACATTCCCCAAACAGTGCTCGCTCTTCAGGTCTCTTGCCCAGACTCTCGCATGTCTTCTACAGAGCTGGGCCTGCGTGCCGGGTCTGGCGGCTATGTGCTCGTCTTCGCCGCCCCGTCGCCGCTTCGTCGCCGCCCGTCGTGATGTGTCTTTCTGCGCACTGCTTTGCATTTTTTGTAGTGCGTTTCTTTGCCTTGCTTTGCGCCACATGGTTTGCGTCACATAGATTGCACAACGTTAGTCGCGCCACATAGATAGCACTTCACTGTTGCCCAACATGGAGCGCACCACGCAGTGATAGCACCACATTGATTGCACCACATTGGTTGCACCTGATACATTGCGCCACTTTTCTTCGTCCGCATAGGTTTTCCAGCATGACATATGTTGCACAACGTAAATGGCATAGCATAGTTCGCACAGCCTAGGTTTCACCACATATATTGCACCCCAGATATTGCACCACGCAGACTGCACCGCATACGTTGCTCCATATCGATTGTACACCTTAGGTTGCTAGAATCAAACTGTTGGGTCAACGCGGGCTGATCTGTTTGTATACATGTATACGTATACTCATTCCCCAAAGTGTGCTTGCACTGTCGGTTTCCTGTTAGCTTTCTACGGTAACTGAGCCTGAGTGCCAGTCTCGCTGGTTCGTTGCCGCCCGTCACCGCCCGTCGCCGCCGCCCTTGCCCTTGGTTTCGAGCCCCAGTGGCGCTCTGGCCAGCTCGTCGCCGCTTTTCGCCGCCGTCGCCGCTGGATGCCTTTGGATTGCATAGCATTTCATTACTTACCTTTGCTTTGCAATAATTGCTTTGTGCATTGCGTGCATTTGCTTTGTGCATTTGCCTTTGGATTGCATTGCATTGCATCGCTTTGCATTGCGTTGCTTTGCGTTGCATTGCTCTACGTTGTATTGCAGTGTTGTGTGTTGTTCTACCTTGCGTTAGTTCGCATTGGTTTGTTTTGCGTTGCATTGCATTGCATTGTGCTGCCTTGCTTTTCCTTGCATTGCGTTGCATTGCGTTGCATCGCATCGACATTGCTTGCGTTGCCCTTCGTTGCTCTGCATTGCGCTGGATTGCTTTGCGTTGTTTTGTAGTTTGTATAGTACTGCATTGTTTTGCATTGCGTTGCATTAATTTGCATTGCGTTGCATTGCTCCACATTGCTCTGCAGTGCCCTGCAGTGTTCTGCATTGATTTACATTGCTTTGCATTGCTGGCATTGCGTTGCATTGGCTCGCATTGCTTTGTGCGGTGTAGATTGCATCACCTAGGTTGCACCGCATGCATATGTATGTATATAAAAAATGGATACAGCAAGATATCATTGTTCGGGGTCCACGCTGGCTAACACATATACATATCGAAAACGACTTTGGCGAATCACCGCTGTCTTTGCTTTTTCGAACCGCTCAGGCGACCAAACGTTTGGCCGAAGCTTGGTTAAGCTACTGGACTATGTGTTTCCCCAGCCGCCGGGAACCCTTTGGGGGGATCACGAGACGAAGAAGGAGGAGAGGGAGGAGAAGAAGAAGGCGGAGGAGGAGAAAGACGAGGAGGCCTCGTGAAGCCCTCCTGGGGCCTCTCGGGGGCCTCCTGGGGCTCTTGAGGGCCTCTCTGGGGCCTCCTGGGGGCCTCTCGAGGATCTCTTGGCTTTGGGAGGCCGTCTCGGGGCCCGCTCTGGGCAGTGCTGGACCCCTCTCCGAGCGCTTTGGGGCCCTCTTGAGGCCGTCCTGGCGGCTTTCCTGGGTCGTCTCCTCCTCCTCCTCCTCCTCCTCCTCCTCCTCCTCCTCCTCCTCCTCCTCCTCCTCCTCCTCCCCCTCCTCCCCCTCCCCTCCTCCTCCTGCCTTGGCCGCCTTCCAGGCCTCGCTCGTGCCGTCCTGGGGCGATTGTGTGGGCTCATGGGGCCGCCTTGGAGCGTCGGAAGGCCGAAACGGCGAGAGCGCTGAAGCCACTGAACGCCAATTGGCAAGCAATGATTTGGGACTCCTGGGGGTTCTCTTGGAGCTCTGTTGGACGTATTGTGAGCCTCGTGGCCCAGTCGGGAGGGCATCTAGGATCGTCTTGGGGCCATCCCGGCCGTCTTGGAGGTGTCTTGGGACGATCTTGGATTTCCATGTGACCATCCTAGTTGTCCTGGAGGCATCTTGGAGGCCACCTTGGAACCATCTTGGCCGTCTTGGAGATTAGTTTTCTAGTTTTGTCCTTACTCTCGCGTTCTTGCGGGTCCTTCCGAGTGGTCGGTGGGATCGGCCGACAACTACTTAACGTCGGGCACGCTATGCACCCCTGTGGCAAGCCAATAGCTGGCGGCGGATATTGTAGTTTCCGGCCCATCCTGCCACTGTACCTGGCTTGTAGATTAGAAGCTTCTTGGATGCTTGTCGGGATCTCTTGAGACGCTTCTTGGAAGCATCTTCGAGGCATTTGTTGGGTGTCTGGGGGCTTCTTGGTAGCCTCTTGGGGCCTCCCTAGGGCGTCTTGGGGGCCTCCTGCAGCCTCTCGGGGGCTTCTTCGGAGCCCGTTGGCGATCTCGGAGGCCTCCTTGTGGCGGAGGGCTCGAAATTTCCGCCCGAGTTCCTCATCTTGGGCCTATCTTGCAGCCCTCTTGGGGCTCTCTTGGGCCATTGCGGGCGCCTCTTTGGCAGCCTTGGGGCCCTCTGGAGGTGCCGTGGGACCTTCTTTGGGGCCGTTCGAGCTGCCTTGGGACGATGTTGGGATGCTGCTGCTGATGATGATGATGATGATGATGGTGGTGGTGATGGTGATGGTGATGGTGATGGTGATGGTGATGGTGAGGGTGATGGTGAGGGTGAGGGTGATGATGGTGATGGTGATGATGATGATGATGATGATGATGCTGATGATGATGATGATGATGATGATGGTGGTGATGGTGATGGTGATGGTGATGGCGATGATGATGATGGTGATGATGATGATGATGATGATGATGATGGTGATGGTGATGACGGTGGCGATGGTGATGGTGATGTTGATTGTGATGGTGATGGCGATGGTGATGGTGATGGTGATGGTGATTACGCTGACGATGGCGATGATGACGCTGACGCTGATGGTAACGATTGTGCAGATGAGGATGGTCAGGGAGCGCGCCGCCGCAGAAGTTCTGACATCCTGACGTGCTCATGTTCGCAGCCATCGGGTGGCCGAGTGTTGTTGAGCACGTTTGTGCTGGAGTGGTTGGCTTGCCAATGGCTTTGGACTGCTCTCGGCGAGCGCGCGCGGCGGACGCGCGCGCGCGGCCCGCATGCTACTATGTGCTGGAGTTGGTGGGCGCGTGTTGGTGGTTGAACGTTGCCGACATGCGCGCGCAAGTGGCCCAGATGGTTTCATTTGATGGACCTGCCAAAACCTCTGGTTTCTCCAGGCTTCCAGTGAGTGCGCGCGCAGGCGTGTGTAACTGTTTGGAGAAGCGCATGGCCCATGCGTGTGTTCGACCAGCCACGTCTTGCATTCCATGCTGGTTGCAGGATTTTGACTTGATGCGTTTTTCCAGCGGGGTTCGTAGCAAACCACGCTTTTCAGTTCAACGCGTGCGCGACGCATTACAGTTGTTTGATACAGGACATGGCGGGGGGGGGCTGATACCAGTTTGGCTTAGATGGTATGAACTCATACGCAAATGGAGCAATGAGGCAGAAGCGTATGTAATTTGAAGTCTCCCATGGCTCGGGAGGGTGGCAGATCTTGTTTTTCCTGCTAAGGCCTTACGGTTGGTGCCGCCGACCCTGGAGGCCTCGGCCCTCGACGCGCTCCCGACACGCCCAGGGAGGGTGGTATTCTGACCCGGCACCACCACCCGGGACCACCCCCCGGACTCCCCCCCCCGGGACCACTCCCCCGGGACCCCCCGACGTCCGCGGGGAAGGACATCAAAGGGAAGGGGCGTCCCTCCCACTCAGGGACAGCGTTGCTGCATTTCGCTGTGGATGGGCTGAGGGAATTCTTGACGCTTCGCGTATCCCCACCAGCCCATCCTGCACCAGGCACTCGAACGAAGAGCGCCGATGATCCGCAGCTGTTCTCCTCCCCTCTTCCTCCTTCTCCTCCGCCTTCTCCTTCTCCTCCTCTCCTCCTCCTCCCTCTCCTCCTCCTCCTCCTCCTCCTCCTCCTCCTCCTCCTCCTCCTCCTCCTCCTCCTCCGCCTCTTCCTCCTCCCTGGTGGCGTATTGGAAGTGTCTTCGAACGTTTTGGTGGGCTCTTGGGCCTTTGCGGGCGGGCGGGCGGCGCTCCGCCCGCCCGCGCGCAGGGCCCAAGAGGGGGTCCAAGACGTCTCTCGGAGCCATCTTGGAGGAGATCGATCAACGAAGGGGGGGTCCTAAATTTCAGCCCCCCCCTCAGGAGCCACGATCCTCGTGACGGGTGTCGAATTTTAGCCCTCCCAGGGGTCGATCTTGGACGCTCTGACCGATCGCGGCCCCCCCTGTCCAGGTCAGTGGGGGGGGGGGGTAGGGGGAGGGGTAAACCCCTCCCCGAAGGGGAAGAAGGAGGGGTGGAAGAGGAAACGCTCTAAACCACCGACGCCCAGAGGGCTGGTGGGATTTCGCTTTGGCTGGCGTGCTGGAGGACGAGGGCCCAAGGAAAGCGGGGGAGCGGCGACGGACTCCAGGGAAGGCGGGGACGTGATGGCGGCGGCGACGCGACGGCGGCAGCGACGGCGATGGCGACGGAGCAGCCCCTGTCACACGGCGACAGGGTCGGCGCATGTCTTTGGCACGAGAATGCACGCGGCCGCCCCGCGAAGCGCCCACGGGCTCCCATCTGCGGGTACCAGGCGAAACTGCGGCTGATCAACTCAGCGCACGAGGCGCCCAAGAGGCGCCCGCGGGCGCTCACGGACGGGCACAAGGCGAAGCCTCGGCTGACCCACCCAGCGCACGAGGCGCCCACGAGGCGCCCACGGGGAAGGCACCAGGCGAAACCTCGGCTGACCCACCCAGCGCACGAGGCGCCCTCGGGCGGGCACCAGGAACGAATCCGGCCGACTAACCTAATTCCCACGAAAGTCAAGTAAGAAGTCCCAGTTGCTGGCACTGGTTTGGGAATAAGTCCAGCGAGTATACAACATATCATGTTGGGGAATATTTATCGATACCCACACCCATCGTTTGTTTTTGTTGGTGCGTGTGCGCGCGCGTGTGTGTGTGTGTTGTGTGCGAAGTGTTGTGTGTAGTGTGTTGTGTGTGTGTGTTGTGTATTGTGTGTGTGTGTGTTGTGTGTGTGTTTGTGTGTGTGCGTGCGCGTGTGTGTGTGTGTGTGTACGTGTGCGTGTACGTGCGTGTTGGTTATGAATGTTTGTGTGTGTTTCGGGCCTCTTGGGGGGAGTCGTCGCCGCAGCCAGATTTTCTGTTGGAGTCCGATCATAACGTTTCCTGGGAGAGGGCTGAGGAGCAGCGGTGTCGGAATTTTGTTGCTACCCCTGGGGTTATGTCCCGTCGGCTGTAGAAGGAACCCGTTGATGTGGCCCCGGGTTTGTTTGGTGGACCTCGCGCTCAGGACACGCATGGAGTAGGAGTTAGGAACACATAGCTGGGCCCCCGCTCCTGTGTACACTCGATGTGCACATACATATCCATACGCACACACTCACGCAATCATACACAGGCGCGTGTTTTGCGCAATTACAGATCCCGCAAGCTGCCTCGCGCACTCCCAGCTCCCGCCTCCTCACCAAATAGGTAGCAGCAAAGACTCGGCAGAGGCAGAGGTCTCCATCGGACGGGCAGCCAGTTTCAACCAAGGCAGGCGCCAGGTGTGCTACGCTCGCGAGGTGCTCGCCAGGGGCCGCCGAGGACCCGAGCGTGCCAGGCGCGCCTGGTGCGCCAGCCGCGCCACGTGTGCCAGGTGCGCTAGGCCCGCGACGCGCGCAGAGTGCGCCAGGGGCGCCAGCGCAAGTGACCGCACACATCGGGTAGTACTGACACATCGGGTAGTACTGATCCGCTGCAAAGTGGCGGCGGGGTGCTGTCATGGTGTATGTCGCGTGTGCCCGCAGTTCCTTTCGCCTTTAGCTATGTGTTGGTGCGGGCAGCGAGCGGACAAAGAGTATCATCCCACCGCCATTCCCAACCACGGCGAAGTGCTAGCGGGGGGCCCGCGTAAGGTTCATATCTGGCCATGCGAACGCGGTTATGTTTCTGTTTTGGCTTCGGGGAGGCTATGAGGGCGGGGCGCATTCTTAGGTTGGCAGCGGCCGGTCAGGTGGGGGAGGGTGTGCTTAAGGGCTGCGAGCATGGGTGCGGGGGGATTGAAGGAGCTACCGGTCCTCGGTCGAGGAGTGCCGCAGCACCTGCTACGACGACCCCGCCTGCTCCATCTGGGAGCTCAGCACGTCAGAGGACGGACTGGGGCCAGGGCCCGGAAGGATGAGAAAGGTGTGGCGGCGCAAGAGGACGAGCCGGAGAGGGCGGTGGCAGTCCAGGACGGGCAGGAGGTGGTGGACGAGGGGGGGAATCTGGAGAGGGTAGTGCGGTGCAAAGAAAGGGGTGGGGTAGAGGAGGCCACTCCCTGGATTCCTGGGTGTCCGGGGAGCCCCCCCATCTAGGTGGGCCCGAGCTAGTCGCCGTCAAGGCTGCTGCACTTCTCAAGCCCTGGAAGTCTGATGCCCGCTGCTGAGACTCAGGCTGGACCTCGCTTCCGCACATGCAGCTCAACATCGAATCGTGTCTACTTCCAGAACCCCATAGTGGTCAGCCGAGCGGCCCGCTAACAGGAACCAGAGAAACCTGTGCTTCCATTGCAGACCCTGCAGAAGTAATGCCTTTAGTTGACCTGGCGGGGCCATTTATCGAGACCCGCAGTGATTGCGGGGCGTTGCTTGTGGTGGACCTGTCACCAGCTTCCTGGGTCCATGGTGGAGTCCACCAGAATGTCGTGGTGAGCTGGTCTGAGCTAGCGCTCGGCTCGCCCGGTGCTCACACGCGTGGAAACGTGATCACGTGCTGCTTCTTGGGGGTGCAGCGAAGCCTGGTCGCCACGTGGATCCACACATAACCTCGGCTCACAGAGTGTTCCCAGCTGAGTTCAGGAGCCCCTGGCTCAGTCCATCAGGGCAGCGTGCGACGGCGATCCAAACCAGATGTCACCTTCGTGGGTGCTCCCACACACAGCAGAATGGTCGCACATGCTTTGAGATCGCGTTGCATTCCTGTCGAGCGGCGTCCTGCGGAGATCGAGCTGAGGCCTCGCCTCATTTCATGCTTCTGATCGGACTGGTTGGGTTTTGTACCTTTGTTTGTGTCAAAGGTCAGTGTCATGTGACACGCCCTGGGTAATGTAATGTGTCAGACATGGCTTCGTAATGTGTCAGAGATGATGGCACTATGATTTGTCAACTTTGCGGTGACAGGACGTGCGCCTCAGAATCAGTCGACGCTGGAGCCTGGATATCGTCGTCGCACTCCATGTGTAATTGAGGACCAGTCAGAGAAAGGCGTGATCAGCACTCGGCTGGGCAGACCGCACACAGCCGTATGTCATATCAAGCCGCAGTCGGGGCTTCGGCCTTGCAGGCCAGCCTACCCCCCTGACCCCTCTCATTTCTCAATTTTCCACCCGCGGCTGCCGCCGCTGCCGCTGCCGCCGCCGCCGCTACCGCCGCCCGTCTCCCCCCTCCGCCGAGTTATGTCACATCTGCGGGAGACCTCGTCTGTCCCCAAAGTGAGCGCCTTGTCCTGCGCCCGGCGCGGGCTCGAGGCGGACTCGACGCGGATCTGGCGCGGGCCCAGCGCGGACTCCGCGCAGGCCCGACGCGGCCTCCGCGAGCCCGACGTGGAGGCTCGGCGCGGATCCGCCGCGCACGGGGGCGCGACGGGACGGACGAGGCCCCCCGAAGCTGCAGCAGAGCCCCGAGGGCTGCTGGTTCGGCTTCTCCGACGCCTGCACCCGGGACGCGCCCGGCGCCACGACGGCGCCGCCCCCCCCCCCCCCCCACCCCCCGGTGGGGCCGCGCGGCGGGCCCCCTCTCGACGGGGGGCGATCGAGGCGGAGGAGGAGGGCGACGACGACGAGAGGGAGGACGGGGAAGAGGGGGAGACGACAGGCAGGAATGAGGGAGGAGGAGGAGGAGGAGGAGGGGGAGGGGGAGGGGGAGGAGGAGGAGGAGGAGGAGGAGGAGGAGGAGGAGGAGGAGGAGGAGAAGGAGGAGGAGGAGGAGGAGGAGGAGGAGGAGCAGGAGGAGGAGGAGGAGGAGGAGGAGGAGGAGGACGGGTAGGAGGCGATCGAGAAGAAGGACGACGACGTGAGGGAAGTCGGGGGAGAGGAGAGGTTCAGAGCGTATGCTGGGACCCAGGTAGCACCTGTCAGGTTGCAGTGGGCTCGATCCCTGCTCCACATTGCTGCCCCGGTTAACTAGCAGCAGCTAGCACGAAGCCGCAGTCATTGGGGATGCGCGGCATCGTCAGAACAAGCACCCACCACCCTCTCGCCTACGAGCTCGACCACAACAAACACAGAGGGGTATCCCAGGGGCTGTGTGCGGCCCCAGTGAAGGGGAGCACCCCCCCATGCGTAGCAGTCCGGCCACAGGAGAGACGTGACACTTCGCGGCCCACCGCCGGAGCATCACCAGGCGCACTGGGCCTGCATTGTCAAGGCAGATCACAGGTAAAGCAACACAAGGCACAACCAGTGCTGCCCAGGGCTGGCTGCCCGAGCTCACCTCTGGCGCCGCTTGGACTTCGCCCCTGCGGCGGCCCGCGATGGGATTCGTCATGGCACCGCTGGCAGCGCCTCGACGACTACAACGACGACGACGACGTCGACGACGACGACGACGACGACGGCGGTGGCGACGACGACGACGGCGACGACGACGACGACGACGGCGGTGACGACCACGACGACGGCGGCGGCGACGACGACGACATGGCACCTTTCGAGAATTAGCGGTAGCAGACCGCCTCGCAGGGACAGGCATGCTGATCTTTGTCGGGCGCAGCCGTGGACGAGCAAGTCTCGAAAGGCTTCGCAGCTGGAGGCTGAGAAGCCGAGCCTGCGGCGAGGCCTTCCGAGCTAGACGCTGCTGCGCCTGCGAGGGGGTCCTCGTCCAAGGATTCCAGGGACTCCTCCGCGCCTTGGCCCACCCCTCGTGCAGGGGCTCTTCGCCGTCGTCCTTGTCCCACCGCCAGTCAATATCCGCCACGACAGACTCCTTCTCGAGGATCGCGAGCTCGTGCTTCTCGGCGGTCCCGAGCTCTGGCCACGGCATGAGGGGCAACCAGTGCTCTGCCTGGTACCCGTGAGTCGCGTCCATCTCCCAGGCAGCGAGAGTCTCGGGCGTGCCGTAGTCGAACCAGACAGCGTTGGCAGGATCCAAGGCGCTGGCCTCGGGCTCGTAGTCATGGTCTGTGCGGTGGGTGCGGGAGCTATCGCGGCGAATGCTAACCGCGACCCTGCCGTTAAGGCGCGTGGCCGGCAGTCCATCCAAGCCTCCCCGCGAGCGGCCGGCCTCTCCGGCTCGTGAGCCCTGCTGTTTCCACGACGAGGAGGAGGAGGAGGAGGAGGAGGAGGAGGAGGAGGAGGAGGAGGAGGAGGAGGAGGAGGAGGAGCGCCGCCGTTCACGTAGGCCCATCCGTTCAAACCGCCTCCAATCAGGCTGCCGATCCGGTGCATAGAGCCATTCCCTCTCAGCGCATTAAACGAAGCGATTGTGCTGATGATGCGTCGGGCGCGTGCAACCGAAGAACATTCCATCCGCGGAGAGGAGCAAGGCCGTGGCGACAGATGTCGCAAAGGCGCACGCTAGCTTGAGGGTGCACGCCGAAAAGTGTTCAGCAGCAAGTGCGGCAAGGGCCCGCCTCAGCGCATGAAGTCGGGCCTGTCCCTTTACAGAAGGGATCTTCAAAAATAGTAGAAAGTAGTCTGGGGACGATTTCTTACATTTTTTCTATAGAATCTCCAGGAATAGTTTTGACTATCTGTTATTTTCCGTCGTCAATCCCCCTCTAGGGGGACAGGCCCGACCTGAGCTTAGGAATGACTAATTCCCACACGGCGCCGCCGCGAATCGTGACGCGCCCGGGGGCGGGGAGGGGCGGTGGGCCGGGGGCTGGTCACGGACGTCATCGCGGGTAAGAAAGAAAATGGGCTTCAAGATCTCAGGCCGGAGGCTGCCAGAAGGGTCCGTTGGACAAGGTTGGCTTCGCTAGACTTGAGGCCCCCCCAGCCCGACCTGAGGCCTCCTAGCTCGGCTGGAGGCGCCCCCGCAGCCGTCGAAGTCACCCTTCTTGATCCAGAACTTCTCGCCGTTCCCGATCAGGGCGGGCTGATCTTGTCCTGCCCCCCCTCCTCCGCGCCAGATGGTCGCTGGGGAGCGCGTGGCCCGGTCCTGCAAGGCCGCACCCGCCGCTTCGCCCGCTCGCCGCGCGCGGCCGCGGCTGCCCCCCGCCTCCCGCTCCTCCTCCTCCTCCTCCTCCTCCTCCTCCTCCTCCTCCTCCTCCTCCTCCTCCTCCTCCTCCTCCTCCTCCTCTTGATGCTCCCCCTCTTGATATTCCTCCTCCTCTTCATCCTCCTCCAAATGGCTATTCCGCCCATAGGGCGACTTGACCGACAGTACGCCTTCGAAGGCCAACCAGATGCTGTTTCTGAGCGTCTTGATACCCGACGCGGGTCTGCGCTCGCAGAGGGCCTCGGATTGCAGTGGTCACAGGGTCCCAGGGTTTCGCTCGCTCCAAATGGCTAGGATTTTGCAGGGTAAGCGCCCGTCCCGCCTGGACAGGAGACGAAGAGAAGCCGCCGCGTCCGAACTCGGAGAGCTCGGCGAGGTCTAACTCGCTTTGTACCGATGCATGTGCGAACGCGTTCGCTTCCCCAGCGGGTGTGTTGCTCCTCCTCCTCCTCCTCCTCCTCCTCCTCCTCCTCCTGTTCCTCCTGCTCCTGCTCCTTATCCTCCTCCCCCTCCTCCTCCTCCTCCTCCTCCTCCTCCTCCTCCTCCTCCTCCTCCTCCTCCTCCCTCCTCCTCCTCCTCCTCCTCCTCCTCCTCCTCCTCCTCCTCCTCCTCCTCCTCCTCCTCCTCCTCCTCCTCCTCCTCCTCCTCCTCCTCCCTCCTCCTCCTCCTCCTCCTCCTCCCTCCTCCTCCTCCTCCTCCTCCTCCTCTCCTCCTCCTCCTCCTCCTCCTCCTCCTCCTCCTCCTCCTCCTCCTCCTCCTCCGCCTCCTCCTCCTCCTCCTCCTCCTCTTCCCCCCGCAGGCACCGCCTGCTGACACCGCATACGCCCTCATTCGCATCACCGTAAAGGAAAGGGGAGTCCTTCCCAGTTTCCCTCGCGCCGTGAAAGAATGACCAAAAGGTTTTCTGGCCACCACGCTTCGGCGCGAGACGCCATCCACATCAAGGTCCCTAACCGTCAACGTCCAGAGCCTTTCCGAGCCCGTCAAAAAAACAGCGCAGGATGGATCTCTAGTCCAGGGGAATGGGTCCGGATCCCTGGGGGTCCACCTGACGAAACAAGCATGACGCCGGGGACCTGGATTCGCCCTGAAGAACGCGGGCCGTGATGGGACGTGCTCCGAGTTTGGGACTAGTCGATCCCGCCTGTTGAAGGCGTTGGGCGTGTCCACAACGCCAGGCGGTCATCGCCGACGCTCTCTCGTCACCAGCGAGAGCTCCTCTGGCGCGCCACCCGCCGGAGCTCCGCAGGGCACCCGCTGCGGCCACGGGATGTCGACCTGCGGGGCAGGAGGCTCGGCCCAGACATCCGAGCGCGCCCCCGGGCCCGCTGCTGGAGCTCCGCGCGCGTGAGCTTCCGCCAGCTCGCCTCCCCCGCGCCTCGGGGCGCCTGCGGGGGGCCCCTCCGCCGGTGCCGCGCGAGGGGCATCGTCAGGTCGAGCAGCGCCCCAGGACTGCAATAGCGAGGGGCTGCGGGGGTGGCGCCCCGCGCGAAGTTGGCCCAGGGCCACGTCGGAGCCGCCGCCCTGGTCCGCTCGACCAGGGCTAGCGGCTTCGATTTCTGGCCCCTCGTCCCCCCGACGCCCCCGCCCCGCCGCCCGTCCGCCCTCATGCCCCCCCGCGGGGGGAGGGCGCATGTTTCGGAGCGCCTCGATCATCGCCCGGCGCCCTCGCGGGAGGGAATCTCACGCATTGCCTTTCACGGTGGCTCCGTCAAAGCCGGGGCGTGGGGATGGGGAAGCTCCGTCAGCGGTGTAGTCACCCACTCCTCCACGATGATTAGCTCATCCAGAGTTTTCGCCGCAGTTCCCCGAGGTTCTCCAGCAGCGGCACCTCGTCAGAGAGCGTCCCAGGGGTGCCCGAACCGTCCGGAACGGCCACCGCACTCCCGAGCAGCGAACCGACAAGCAGATCCAGCATTAAGGAAACGGGTCCTGGGGGAGACGCGTCCTGGCGCTGTTCGCAGTTTCCGGGCCCCATGAACGTCAAAAAGCCAGTCAGGACGAGTATCCTGTCCTGGGGGAGGCCCCCGGGGTCCAGGATCCTTTTTCCCCCGGCGGATAGGGAAAACGCAGCGCAAGGGGAGTGTGACGGGTAGGATGCCGGATCTGGCACGAGCACATTTGGCTTGCCCTCCCCTTCTCTTCTTCCTCTCTTCTCATCCCCTCACCCTCCCGGCCTTCGGCAGGTCGGGTGGGCCAACGAGCAGCGCACGGACTACGTGCAGGCGGCGGCCCAAAGCGGGGCAGGACGACGAGGAGAGGGAGGATGGCGCAGCAGCAGCGTGAGCATATGATGCTGAAAAGGGCCCACATCTCCGACGGCATGGTGTTTTCAGTCCCAGCGTTGTTCCTCGGCTTCGGCCTTTGGGACCCGTCGTCGGCCATCACGAGGGACCTGGGAGGGAGCAGAAACAGCCCCGAAGGGGTCGGGACTTGTGACTTGTGGGGCCGCGCATTCAAGAATCAAGTCGTCGGGAGTCTGGGGAGGACGGGGAGGGGCAGAAAGGGGAATGGGGGGGAGACGGGGAACAGGGGAGGAGGAGCAGGAGCAACGGGGACGGGGAGGATGAGGGTGCCCAGACCTTTGACGGACTGACGCTTCCCCCCGCGAGCCCTGGAGATCTCCAGTCCCCCCCCCAGGTCGCTCCGTCCCGGGTCCACTGCTGATTGATGCCCCAGGGGGGGGCGCCAGTGGCCCCTTGGACGCAGGAGCCGAAGAGACACGCGGCATCTGGAGTGATCGATCCGCCTGGCCCTCCACAGTGCGAGCAGCCCAGCCTGGGCCGCACGAGAGGGGCAACCACCCGGCAAGTGGGGATCACGAGTCCTCTGGCGTGCGACCTGGCTCGGAGCCCCCGCCGCTGGGCGTGCTCCTCGATAGATGGCGTGGTCCAGAGAGGGCTGCGCCAAGTGTCCGGCGCGGCCCCTCCTCTCTTCCGCCGCGCTCGCGCCCGCCAGCGCTGCGGGCAGAGCGGCCGCTGCTGGGCGATCTCCTTGACGGATGGCGTGGTCCACAGAGGCGCCCAGTGTCCGGCGCGGCCCCTCCGCTCTTCGGTCGGTGCTCGCGGCCGCCAGCGCTGCGAGCAAGACGGCTCCAGGACGGGCCTCGCCTTCCGCCCGCCTCGCCCCGCGGCGCCTTCAGGCAGGAGAGAGAGAGCCGGCGGAGAGGCCCGACGGCGGCGCTTTTCCGCCTCGCAGGAGCGCGGCGGCAGGCGCCGCAGTGGCGGCGACGCCGGCGGAGGGTCGGCGGGCCGTTTCCGTCTCTCACCAGGCGCGTTCCGCTGCGGCGGGGGCGTTGGTCCAGGATCGGGCGACGAAATCTATACATATCCACTGCTCCCTGGCCAGGCCCATCCTGAACCCAGGAGTTGTGCATACGCCCTCCTGGCCACGCCAGGAGGGCGCAGCGTATACACAGCTGCTGGGTTCAGGATGGGCCTCGCCAGGGAGCAGTGGATATGTATAGATGTCGTCGCCCTACAGGAATGCGCCCAGGAGGCTTCAGGCCTTCGGGCGGTGATGTTCGTGGCCAACCCACGATCGAAGCTCCACTGGCCTCGAGGCCCTGGGTTCCGGATCCATGCGTTCATCGGCCAATGCCCTCACCGTGCTCGGCAAGCGCCTACGCGCAAGCGTCCGACGCACACATGTCTGCCTCGGGATGGTAGATCGTACCCCCCCCCCGCGGCGAATCCAGGCCACTCGCGAGCAGATCTTGTTGCGAGCAGTGGAACGCGCTCGTCTTGTCTCAAGTATATCAGGAGGGTAAGAAACACACAGACACAATTAATCGTCGATTCCCCAGAAAATATGGGAAAATATGGGAAGTGGTGGGGGAGACAAAACCCCCGAACATATAGGAAAATATGGGGAATTTTATTTGTGTGTATTTATTTGTGCGTCCTGGGGCCACTTCAGTATAGCACTCCGAGTGCGCCGATTTTCGGTGGGCTTTGCCCTGGGCCCCACGCGAAGCGTCCTCTTAAAAAGGCAGGGGAAGGCCTGCGGACGGCGGCGGAAGCGAAGGGGAGACGCCAGCATGTTTGGCTCCAGGGGTTCCCGGGTCTGTCACACTCGACCCAGGAGAAAAAGAAACACACAGACACAATTAATCCTCGGTTTCCCCGAAAATATAAGAAAACATGGGAAGTGGGCGGGAAGACAGAAACCCAGAAAATATGGGAAAATATGGGGAATATTTTTATTTGTGTGTATTTACTTGTGTGTCCTGGGGCACCTTCATCGACGGCGAGCGAGAGGGGGGGAGCGAGAAGGGGCGCGCCTCGCGAGGAGTTCTCTGGGGCTTCGCCCGGGGCACGGGAAATCTTCCAGAGGGCCGGAGGCTTTCTGAGAAGCCCCGCCGCCTTCTGAGGAGGCTTCCTCCTCACTTCCCCCCCTCCATCGCCGCCGACACATGGCCGCTTCCGGCGCTGGGAGGCGCCGGGATCAGCCACCGCGCGAGCTGATGATGCGATCCTGCACCCCCCTCTCCCGTCTCCTCCTCCCCACTGCCCTCTCGGCTCAGTTATGGCTGAGGCGTCTTGCCCTTCTGCCCACAGGGAACAGGTTAGTATACGCATCGCTGAGGGGGGCCAGGCCGGGTCCAAGCTCCCCACCCACACATTCTAAGGAGGGAGAAACACAGCGAGTCGATCCCTTGGAAAAAATATGAAAATATAGGAATTGTGGGGGGGAAGACAAACATCGAGAAACTACAGAAAATATAGGTCATCCTCGGATTCGTGTCTATATATCTGTGTGCCCTGGGCCCCTGCACACTCGCTATCCCCACCTTCTGGTGCGCGGCTTGCGGTGGGGGGGGGTGGCCAGCGAAGGGCGAGGACGCTCAAATATGGATATGGAGGAAGGCGCGAGTGCTATCTTTAAGTCGGGCCTGTCCCTCTACAGCGGAATATCTAAAAATAGTCCAGAGACGATTTGTTGAGCGTTTTTGTTGCCATTCGGGGGTAATTTTTTGCCTATTCTTTATTTTGCGTCCAAAGCCCCCCTGTAGGGGGCACGCCCGACCTGGTGCTATCTGGCGACGGGCCCTGCATCCCGACAAGATCAGCGCGCTCCGTCGCCGGGTCGGGCGGCACCCGATCCGTGGGTCCGCAACCCATGCCACACGAATATGGTTGGATGAGGGCGCGAGTGTTATTTTCCGCGGGCCCCGCTTCCGCACAAGATCGGCGCGCTCCAGCTCCAGGTCGGGCGGCACCGGCTGAGTGCGTTCGGGGGGGGGGTAGGGGAGGCCCTTCCCGATCCGTAGATCTGCAAGCCATGTCAGCGTGCGCTCGAGGAGAGTGGTGGCAAAGGCCAGGTACGTGCAAACACGCGCTGCAGTGGCAACGGCGCTCGGCTCAAGTGTGAGAAACAAGGCGATCAACAATTCAATTGCGATTCAGTAGTTGCCCGAGACGTGCTCAGACCCTTTTCCATTCGAGTTGGCCTGGTGTATCAACGCTCCGTGCTGCCCTGCACTCCGCCGTGCCTCCCGGGAGCCCACGACGACAGTGGCGACGGATGCGCAGTCCGCGGCACCTGGCGGAGCCGCGAGGTCTCGCCCTCATCCGCGCTGCTCTGCCCTCCGCCGCGCCTTGCAGGAGCTCACGAAAAGTGGTCACGGATGCGCAGTTCGCAGCCCCCGATGAAACGAACAGGATGCAGGAGGAGGCAGGCACAGGTGGAGGTATGAGGCAGAAGTCCGGATGCAACTCCTGGGAGGTCAAATTCTGATTTTGCCCTGGTCCGAAATCCGGTTTAATTCGGCTGAATCCCGCTTAGTCCCGCTTAATCCCGCTTCATCCGGCTTAATCCCGCCTAATCCGAGGCCCACTCCTGCGTAACAACTCCCGAATGGGGCTCGATCCTCCTAAATCTGTTCGACGAGTAACCTCCTAGTGGTTGCCTCCTAGCAGAAGGAGGGAGGAGGTGGATGGAAGGATGAGGCGCGCGAGCAGTGCTCCATTTAAGAATCCAGCGCGGGAGGTTGGGAAGGCAGACGATTCACTGACACATGCGATGGCTCGGCGGCGGGCGCGGGGGAAACGTGAGAAAGAAAGGGCCTCCTCTCACGGTGGCGGGACTTCTCAGAAGCCCTCGCGCCTTCTGAGAAGTTGTCTGTGTCTTCGGGGGATGTTCACACAATTTTTGGGGAGGCCGGGAGACGTCCGAGCATTCTGAGAAGACCCGCCCCTTCTCATTTCCCCCCCGGGCTCGCCGCCGAATGGAGCAGCTCCCGCTTGAGCTGCTGCTGCGGCAACACGCGCGTCCAGGATGGCACTGCTCCCGAGGGCCACCAGTGCGTGCAACGGAAGCGCGCGCGGGCCGCACGTATAGCCTTACCCTTCCGCTCTCCCCCCCCCCCTCCCTCGGTAGGAGGAGGAGGAGGAGGAGGAGGAGGAGGAGGAGGAGGAGGAGGAGGAGGAGGAGGAGGAGGAGGAGGAGGAGGAGGAGGAGGCGGCTTTTGATGCCGCTGCATGTCCTGAACCCTGCTCCTCGGCCTCCAGGGCTCTGGCTTCTCGGGGGTGGTCTCTTGCAGGGCCACGTCTTCCTGGACGGAAGTTTGCGCGACGGTTTCTTGTCGCTGGCCCAGCAGGGCCTCGGCTGGTCCTGCGTCCAGGTTTCCCAGGACTCCTTTCGTGCCGAGGCCATTTTTGCTGGCTCGTTTCAGCACCCTGCTGCCGACATCGACGCTCTAGAGTTATGGGCGTTGTTGCAGGGTCTCCGTTTCTCGCTGCCTGGCACCGCCTTCTACAGCGATTCTGGCTTTGTAGTAGATGGTGTGCTCGAGCGCGGCCCAGAAAAGACGTGTTGCGCGAAGAGTGCCTGGGCAGAGCTCTGGCGCATGGTGTGGCAAACGATTGCGGACTGGGGAGGAGTGGGGGCTTTCTCTTTGGTCAAAGTTACAGGACATGCCACACGTGCTGCCGTCGAGAGCGGCCGAGCTTCTGCTTTTCATAAGGCGGGCAACGACCTCGCAGGCGAATATGCTAAGCAGGCCTCGGATTTTTCGCGTCTTCCCAGCTCGGCTCGAGCTAAGGTTGATGCCCGTGCGAAGGTTCTCGCAGAGCTCGCCACGTGGGTTGCCAAGATCGGGCCCACCATGGTGGCGATTGACTCTCTTCATGTCGCCCAGCGGCGCGAGGCGAAACTTCGCGCCCCGTCGCTGGTCGTCCTGCCTCCTCCTCCCCTCGTCACCCCTCAGTGCTTGCTCTCTGCA